ACTTTGAGAGGCTTATATCTAGCTACTGGAAGCAGTTTACAGAAACAGAAAGCTAACAACTACTAACTTTAACTAACTTCTTTAGCTTTGTTTTGTATGATCAGCTATATCCGTTGACAATAGCTTAGTTTTTTTTTTCTTTTCTTTTCTAAAGTATGCGCTTTATAGTATAAGAGTCCTAGACTAGATGAGTCAAAATTTTCTTAATGTCTAAATTACGTACTTACTACTACAGTAGTTTCTATACCTGTTTTGATTTACTTACATGGTCTGTAAATCAATGATACGATAACGGTTTTTTAAAACTGTTGTCTTTGTGCAATATTATTTTTTAAAAGACAACGGTTTTATTTAACCGTTGTCATTTGTGTGTTGTCTTTAATAGCACTTGAATACACAACACTACAATGACAACGGTTTTATAAAACCGTTGTCGTTGCACGTTCTTTATTTTTTTAAGACAACGGTTTTATTTAACTGTTGTCTTTGGTATGTTGTCTTAAAGCGTACTTGAATACACAACACTACAAAGACAATGGTTATAAAGAATTATTGTCTTTGCGCATTATTATTTTATAAAGACAACGGTTTTATAAAATAAATTAAAATGATACCAATAAAGGGTCGAACACAAGACCTCCAACATAGCACACAAAATTATAAAATTATATTCATAATTTTTGAACTTTATATTCATAATTATAAAATTATATTCATAATCTTTGAACTTTATATTCACAATTATTGAATCTTTATATTCATAATTACAAAACTATATGTTCATAGTCATGTCCACAACTCTATGTTCATAATTATAGAACTATATGTTCATAATTTTTTGTACTATATATTCATAATTATGAACAGGTTTGAAACCGTGTCCACCTTGCAAGGTGAACACGGTTCCACAGCATAATTTGCCCCCGTTCTGTATCTATATATATGGTACTATTTTAGGCCTGGCGCCCCGGGTTAGGGCTGGGCACTTCGGGTTTCGGTTTCGGTTTTTTTTTCGGTGGTTTTGGTTTCGGTTTTTTGGTTTTGAAAAAATTAAACCATTCGGTTTAAAATAGAGTTCGGTTTCGGTTTGAAAAGTTCGGTTCGGTTCGGTTTCGGTTTCGGTTCGGTTTTGGTGAAGTCTACTATTTGAACGTTTCTTTTTTTGCCTAACTGATTGTTCAGTTGGCTCACTTGGAGTGCCACTTGAAGTGTTTTGTTGATGACAAGATGAAGAATCATTCATCTATAGTAATATTTGAAAAATAAAAATTATTAAAACACCAAATGTTGGGACTTACAACTTGGAGTTGAGATTTGAAGACTTGAGGAGTTAAAATTATTAATTATTATAATATTTATATATAATACCAGCATTTTGTACGCGTGATGCACGAAAATTTATGTCTAACATTACAAAATTAATAAATGCAAATAATTACAAATTATATTTCGCAATTCCTTAAAGTAATAAATTTTAATCATTGTATTTGAAAATTATAGAGATGAACAAAATTTATATTTTTTTATTAACTAGTATTTGTCCCGTGCGATGCACGAAAAATATGTTATAAAAATATACCCTATATGAGGTTTATTCATATATAAAATTTTTGTTATTTAATATTTATTATGTGTGAATTCCTATGATAAAATTATGAACGACATAAATATATTTACAATTAAAATAATATTTAAGGTGGGTGATTACTACAAATCTTAAACTATATTAAAAATTTAGTACATAGTATTTAATATTACAAATTTTTAAGAACTTAGTAAACTACAATAGTAATTGAATTACAATTTTAGAGTCACCACGGATCAAAATTTTTAGACCTTTGAGATTTCTAACTCTAGATGTAGCGACATACAATTGACCTTTAAATACCAAAATCACAATCTTAGTTCGAACATTGATTTTTTCTTCCAAATACAATCGAATTAAGTGTGTAATCAATAAAAGATAGAGAACTAATAATTCGAGAATATAATCTTAATGTTACTAAGCCTACTTCACGTCAATTAAGTTGGATAGTATCCGATGAATCCACGAATAACGCATCTTTGTCTCCGTAGTCCTCAATATGCACATCAACAATCTTAAATATTAGGTCGCCTAGCTATGCCATATATTAATTTCAAACTTATGAACTTTGGGGTTGCATGCAATAAAAAGTATATTTTAAGAGTTTTTTCCACTTTTGGTCCCTCGACTTCACTTGTTGACAAATGGGATTCACGACTTTTATTCCGGACATAATAGGTGCTCAACTTCAATTTTTTTTCCACATTTGGTCCATCCGACCAAGAACCCAGCCAACCCACCAGAATTAGACTCAACCCTTATTATGTTAAGCGTATTCTAGTCATTTCTAACCCATGTAAAATGATTAAATATAAGATTTATTCCATATTTACACCTCATTCTCGTCGATCTCTGTTCGAATCGAAGGTGTGCGAAGAAGGAAGAACAAAAACCCACTCTGTTCGAATCGAAGGTGTGCGAAGTAGTCAATTACGCTAGGGTTTTTGTTCTTCCTTCTTCGCACACCTTCGATTCGAACCGAGATAGACGAGAATGAGGTGTAAATACAGAATAAATCTTATATTTAATCATTTTACATTTTACATGGGTTAGAAATGACTAGAATACCCTTAACATAATAAGGGTTGAGTCTAATTCCGGTGGGTTGGCCGGGTTCTTGGTCGGATGGGACCAAATGTGGAAAAAAAATTGAAGTTGAGCACCTATTATGTCCGGAATAAAAGTTGTGAATCCCATTTGTCAACACAAGTGAAGTCGAGGGACCAAAAGTGGAAAAAACTCTATATTTTAAATATACTAAGGGTACATTATATATGTATGTAAGGTACTTTCAATATAAAAATAATGTATTTTTAATATATTAAAAATGTATTTGATATTCATGATCCATACAATTATGTGGACCATCGTTCACACAATAATTTACCAGTAGAAATTGAAATATAACTAAATAAATAAATAAATAAATAAATATATATATATATATATATATATATATATATATATATATATATATATATATATATATATATATTAGAAACTGTCAGTGGAAATTATTATCATTATTATTATTGCAATTATTATTATTATTATTATTGTTATTGTTATTATAATTAACAATATTATTATGGTCTTGTGAAAATTAAATGTTGATTATCATCATTTAATTTTCACAAGACCATATGGCTTTATTATATATAGGATAATATAAACAATTTTAATATAATTTATATTTTGTTTTTACAATAATTAAATAATATATCTATAATTCTAATCTAGTACCTGGTCACATATATTTGTACGTGTGTGTATCTTTATATATATACACACATATATGATTTACTATTCATAGAAATTTAATTAAAATATAATCAACAATTAAAGTAATTATATAATGATTTTAATAAAATGATAATTAAAGAATAAGAAAAAGATATCATAGTTAATTTTATATATATATATATATATATATATATATATATATATATATATATATATATATATATATAGAGAGAGAGAGAGAGAGAGAGAGAGGTGTATGATAATAATGATAGAATTATGAAATTTATAGAATTAAATAGCAACGGTGTAATAACGGTATAATGGTATTTTAGTCTAACAAGAATGTAGTACGGACAATTTTATTCATTATATTTGAAGTGTGCAACATTTAATGAAAAATGTATACCTTTATTACCATACAAATGTGAATATGGACATAAATGTGGCTATAGCTTAGTGGCTAAAGCTCTTAGTTTATAACTAAATGAATAAGGTTTCAAACCTCACCTTAAACATTTAATATAATATATATCTATTATTATTTTTTTTTTTTAAAAAAAAAGCAAAGAACCGATCGGTTTTCCGGTTCGGTTCGGATTTAAACTGAACCGAACCGATCGGTTTCCTCAAACCAAGAACCGATCGGTTCTTCGGTTTGAGGCCGAACCGAACCGGTTCGGTTCGGTTCGGTTTGGTTCGGATAAACAGAACCGAAATGCCCAGCCCTACCCCGGGTAATAAAGCTACTTTTTCCTTACCCTCGTTCTGTACCTATATACTCGGTTTATGGTGGACCCAGTCCTGATAAAACAATTAATATAGTTATTTAATTTGAAAAAAAATGACGAATTATTATAAAATAAAAATAAAACTTTCGTTATTTTGTTTATTATATTAGATATATATGTTATTCTTAAATGGGCTGTTTGGTTCACGGAATAGGCTCGGAATGACATATAAATCCCAGTAATAGGCCTATTACTCTGTTTGGTAACGACTTGTATTCCCAGGAACATTGTTCCCGGGAATGACCTATTGCCCTTGCAAGGGGAATAGAGATTACTTGGGGGGGGGGGGGGGGGGGGGATCTGGTATTAGGCTATTTCTGAGCTCTCAGGAATAGTCTAAAGTTTCTATTTCCTATTTTACCCCCAATTAAATTTCTTTCCTATTTCACCACCACCACCACCACCACCACCACCATCGCCACCGTCACCACCATCACCGCCACCGCCACCGCCACCACCATCGCCGCCGCCACCACCACCACCATCGCCGCTGCCAACCCTACCACCGCACCGCCACCATCACATATTTTTATAATGGTATTTATGTCTTTTAAAATATATTTCATTTCTATTCCATAAATCAACTAAACAATGTAATATAATTCCTAAATTCTATTCCTTCTGCACACTAAACAATAGGATACAATTCCTATTATATTCCTTGTCTATTCCATTCCTTATGGAAAAGCATTCCTATTACCTCAAAATTCATTCCGTGAACCAAACATGCTGTAAAAGAAATAAAATTCAAAACAATTTTGACTTTAGATATATATATTAGATTAGATATATATGTTATTCTTTAAATTCTGATTTTCGAGACTTACACATTTTGCAAAAAATTTCCTTTCCTCTTCACAAATTTTAACTTTATTTTGTTATTGAAATTTAAGCACGAAAGAAGAAATTAAAACAAAAACAAAACTACGTTTAGCGCAAAAACATAATCTTTAGCGTCGTCCCAAAGTCGTCTCGAGGAAGCGTCCCGAAGTCGTCTCGAAGAAATATCCCGAAGTCGTCGTTGTCGCTGCCTCCAACCTTCGACGCCGTCGCCGCGTCATCCCTCCTCTGCCGCCATCGTCCTCTTCCCGCCATTAAGCTCCTACAGGTTAGTCCTCAATTTTTTTAATCCTAATCCCTAATTTCTTAATTGTATTGTTGAATTTTTCATATGTGAAAGCTATGAATGTTCTTAAACCCTAGGTCAGTTGTGGATTATTAAGTTAGTTTATGAATTGTGGATTATTAGGTTAGTTTATGCAATCCCTATGATTTCATTATGAATGTTCCACTGCCGAAGAAATCATAGGCAAGGCTGGGTTAGGCAAGCATTTTTGCAGATTGGATGGTGTTGGGGGAGTTGATTTAGAGTTATGGAGTAGAGCTGAGCAATTCAAGCAAATTTTGGGTTAATACCAGAAGATGATGGTGTTGGGGGAGTTGATTATTTCTGGGAAAAATAAATTGGGAGTGGCTGAACAGAATGTTTCAAAAGAACATGTTTTGGTTTAATTGAGGTTGAAGCCAAGGTATATTTAACACTCTGGAACTTACAGAAAACCCAATTGAGTTTGAGTACACTAATATTGCCATTTGCTTTGATTACTATTTATCAGTAATAAGTTTTCTTTATGACATTTTTTTGGAGTAACTTGTAGATTCTGCTGATTCTTATTGATAATGTCAACTCATGGGAAAATACAATTTTCTCTGACAGTAAATGAATATGGAATTATTAATGTTGTGTGTCACTTTTTATATATAGCTAGTTATATCCTAATTCTCATACTGTTGAGTGTTGGTTGTAACTTTTGTTGGTACTTACTAAATGTCTAGTAATGCACAAAACTTCTACAACTTTGCTAGTATGACTGCAGTTTCTCTCTTAGAGCACTTTTCTATCCAGGGGTTGGAGGAGTCTTTTCTACTTGGAATGATGGATAACAAAGACTACAAAGCAGCATAAAAATGAGCAACATTTATGGGGAAGCAATATTTGTGTACACTTGTCCAGGAATACATTGATAGGAAACTGGAAAATGATGCTTATGAGGTCATAACGAAAAACCATCTGAGGGAAGAATTCCCAGAAGCATATCATCAAGGCAAAGAAAGGCAAGTTAGTTGACTTAGTTCTGCTTACTCTCATGTGTCATTTATATTCTGTCTATTAAGCACCACTAGTTTTATGAAAAGTAACTGGTAATATTACTTTACAGCAAACTAAAGAAGCTTGATGAAAAAGGATGTTGGGATGTTGCTGAGGCAAGGACAAAGAATGATAGACAGCTTCTTGAGTATTTGATATGTAGCCAGCCTCTAATGGCTTTTCTGAATGAGTTATATGTAACTCTGGTCTTGTTGCTTTTTCTTTTTGTTGGTAAGTCATCTGAATTGTTGCTTTTCCTTTTCTTGTGCGGCGTAGGAATGCACTTGATTCTAACTTTGTAAATAATATTTAGACTTGGTGATTGTACTAATAAATGGTTGATTGTATTTTGAAGTAGATAATGAATTGTTGTGTATTTTGAAATACTTTACTTATAGAGGACGATTGTACTAATGAATTGATACTTTTGTATTTATATGTTGTTTGAATAAATTGTTATTATTATATTATTATGTCTAAAATTGTTGTATATGAATGTGAAAACAATGGTTTTTAACCGTTGTCTTTGATATATAAGACAACAGTTAAAAACTGTTGTCTTATTGTAATTTTAAACAATACAGGTTTCAACAACACTAAATAGACAATAGTTTTAAACTGTTGTCTTATATATCGAAGACAACAGTTAAAAACTGTTGTCTATCGACGTGACTTTCAACAACGCTTGATTTAACAACACACAATAGACAACGGTTTTTAACTATTGTCTTATATAGAAAAGACAACAGTTAAAAACCGTTGTTTATGCCTGTGACTTTTAACAACACCGGTTTCAACAACACTCAATAGAAAATAGTTTTTAACTGTTGTCTTTTTTAGAAAAGACAACGGTTAAAAACCGTTGTCTATGTGCGTGACTTTTAACAACACCAGTTTCAACAACACTCAATAGACGATGGTTCAGAAACCGTTGTCTTTTCTAGAAAAGACAACGGTTAAAAACCGTTGTCTATGTGCATGACTTTTAACAACACCGGTTTCAACAACACTCAATAGACAACGGTTCAAAAACCGTTGTCTATGTGCATGACTTTTAACAACACCGGTTTCAACAACACTTAATAGACAACGGTTCAAAAACTGTTGTTGTTTCTAGAAAAGACAATGGTTAAAAAGCATTGTCTATGCGTGGGACTTACAACAACACTGGCTTCAACAACATAAATTTTACCCCTATGACAACGGTAAAAAACCGTTGTCTATGTGCATTTTTCTTGTAGTGCACCTTTTGTCATCATAAGATCGTTCAGGTTTTGGTTGGATGAAGGTGGTATCTTCTTCCATTGCTCCTTCTTTGTTGTTCAGAGTAGCCCCTTCTTCCTCATCAATACACACATCATCATCTCCACATTCTTTTTCTCGCTCTTCCTCCTCAAGCAATTCCTCTTCACCTGGTATTGTGAAATTTCCCCCAACGAAGGATCGGTTGACCTTTATAAACTTATTCAAATCATTCACATATTGTGGCACTTGTTCAGGGCATTCGAAAGGTACGTTGAGGTACCATTGTTTCAACGCTTTGGAGAATTCTTTCTCGGATGTACATCTTTCCTTGCCCTTTTGGTATTGAAGTATTTGGAGTTGAGGTTTGGATATGGGCCCATCATGTTGAACATCTGCTGGAGTACTTGGCCTTCCGTCCTCATCAGTTTGTGACACATCCTCCACTTCTTTGTTTGAAATGATCTCGTCAGTTGAAATGGGAACCGGAGGCATATTTATATCTTGTGATATACCTATTTGTACCTCTAGTTGGTTCCTAGTGGTAACTTCTTCGATCAGATTGGCGAGTGTGGCCTTCATTCATCTTAATGGTTGTATCGTTTCTTCGTGGTAGGTCGCCACTTCATCTTTCATTTCTTTTCTTATAGAATCCCTAAGGTCTTCCATATCTTGCTTTGCCTCGTGTATAATATTATCACTCCTTTTGTCGAAGCAATCATACTCTTCTCCATACACAAATGATGGTTGAGTGACATAGCTTGGTTCATTTCAACAACCGTAATCACTTGGTGAACTATAGCCTTGGTGTTCATAGAAGTATGAAGGCGGTGGTGTGTATTGATAGTTTTTATAACGCCCCCAAAACTAGGCTATTTTTAAAGCATTTAAACTTAGTAATTAAAGGTAAATCTAACCATTAACACAAATAAATACAGCGGAAGCTTAACAAAGTCTTAGGGATGCTAATATGCTATGCCACAACTAAGTTCCCAACCTAGTTGCACAGGCTTTACAAAACACTTTCCAACAATCTACAAGAGGCTCAACTACTTTACACCTGAAAAACATAAGGGGTAGCACCCGTTAGTGAATAATGCTAAGTAACCCACCACTACTCGTTGAGTACAATATAGTATAGATATATGAAAATCATTTGAGACTTGGAATACATATTATATAGTCTTTTAAAACGAGGAATAGAAACAACATTAGACTCATCATGGAACACTCTCAATCAACCGACCATCATACGATAAATCAAGAGATCAATACAACGATAAGAACAATGGAATCATCAACAATACATGATAATCAATATCAACCAAGGCAACATCATAACATGAAGGATAACATCAATACATGCTCATAAGAAATAGAAAGTCAAGGATCTCATTCAATGATATGTTTCAACCTTATGCCCGGTTCCAACCTTATAACTTCAGGCCAACCTTATCTCAGTTCCAACCTGTACCTCCAAGTGCCACCCTGTACACCAAGTCCAACATTTTCCCTCCTGGAGTCATCGCTCCCCGCCTGCATCCGCCAGCTTATACCACCGATCTCAGGACATACGCAATGTCATAATAATAGTACTAATCACGTGATAGTATACCGCCAATCATGTGAGCAAAGCTCAGTATCAATACCCCCAATCTCATAGTAATCACATAATCATTGACATAAAGGATTGAGGCTCATCAATAGCCCAATCAAGATCAATCAATAAAGTATATCATATGTACTAGATACAACAAGAGATTCAATCATAAGGCTTCAATGAAAGACATGAAACGAACAATCAAGACCATAGCACGATAACAATAGGCTTCAATACAAAGATTACATTAATTGGTGAATACAAGCTATCAATCCTCATTGAGAATGAATGAACAAGCACATACTAATACCAACAACATCGTAGCTAGCATGCAAATCAATGGAATAATCAATACGGTTCAAACGAACATCAAGACTTCACATTAATCCAACGAATCACAAAGTTGGACCTTTAATCATGATTCAAGACTCATAATCCTATCATGGATACTTAGGACACTGTTCTAGACGTACGAAACATCAAATGAGACAAAAAATTTGCACAACGATTTAACAAAACGGAGGCTAAAACATCACATACCAGTGGGCGGAACGGTGGGTGGACAACCACCCGCCACTCTCCATAACAGGTACTAGCAGGTGGAACCACGGGTGGGCCTCCATCCGCAGCAACCCCCCCCCCCCCCCCCCCCCCCCCGCCGGCAAAACACCTTCCACCCGCGGGTGGAACGGCGGGCAGACAGCCACCCGCTGTTCCGCCCGCGGGTACACCTTGTACCCTCAACATTTCCCTTCGGGGAAAAACATCAACATTGCCCAGTCCAAGTCCAAAACACCCAAAATCTCACATTCAACAAGAAAGGGACTTGAACACATGAATAGCTCAATGAATAGCATTTATGAACCCTAGATACAAGCTCTAAACATGCATAAACACAAGATTATGCATCAAATTACTCATGAACATCAAGAACATCAATAGAGTAGCAAGAATCATCATAGCAAGTATAAAATAGGTTTTGTAGAGCATGAGTTACCTCCTTAGCTTAGCAATCCAAAACCAACACCAGTTTTAGGCTAGGCTCAACTCATAAGCTAATCTATAAAAAAGGAATCCTGCGAATCAAATCGAACATTCACTTAAATAACAAGTATGCTAATCAAAACTAATTAAACTATGAGCGGATTTGAACCCTAACTTATCTTAAGATTAACAATAAGCTTTACCATCTAAACTAATCACCCTTTAATTAACTTAGTTATAACATTATTATACTCATAACTAAGCTAATAACCAAGCTTCTAAGATAGAACTATTAATTAAAAGCTAATAATCAAAACTTAATTAGTTAAAGTAAAGTGGGAATTGAACCCTAGCTACTTATACCAAACTAAACACACTCCTTACCACTAAACTAAAACCTTTCTTGTTAACCCTTAATTAACAACAACCTAATAACCTAAATAAAAAACTAAGACAACAAGAGCGACAGCTCACCTCATCATCTTCTTCATCATGCAACCCGAAGCCGTGGGTGGAACCACGGCAACACCACCACAAGCGGTTCTGCCCGCTGCCTGCCTCTTCTAGGAGAACTGCGATTGCCGCCGGAGAAGGGAAGGATCCTCCACTGCCGTCGTTGTTCTGTTTCTCCAGGGAAAAAGGGAGCGCCGAGGGCTCTGTTCAAAGTCCAAGCTGCTGCCAAGGTCGCCGGAAAAGCCGAGGAGGATGGAGCCGCTGTCGTCAACGAGAGAAGGAGGATAGGGTCGCCAGAACTGCCACCTTGCCGAGGAGCTCCTGCGTCTACCGTCCGCCGGACCCGCCGCCGTACTCTGCCAAAGCTACAACTTGCCGGCTTGCCGTCCTAGTTAGCTTGCCGCTACTGCCGAGGGAAGAAGGAGTCGTCGACCCCCCACCCCCCCTTGCTGCTGAAACCGTCGACGGAAGGTGAGGCCAAAGGTGGTGATGTGCGGCTATTGTTCAAGCAAGGTTGAAGGCCACAGAAGTGGGGGAGATAAGGGGATGGCTGCTGACTATGCGTAGAGGGTTGAAGATGAATTATAGGGGAAGAAACATTAACTTATATATCTATGTACATCTTCCATATGTAGTAGGGTTATATCATTATTATTTAGACTTAGGTCATTTATAGAAGGTTGGACAAGATAGTTTGAGCTTGGGTATTTCTTTTGAGTTTAAGAACAAAGGCAAATTATGCTGTGCATCCCTATGCACCATGCATGGTGCATACGGATGCAAAAATGACGTCATTTTAATAAAATGTGTGTCTCCCCTTAAAAAAAAATCAGGTTCGATTCCCAACAACAACATATGAACTAAAATTCCATAATCGATGAACTATAATTCCATAATCTAATCTATGAACTAAAAATTCCAGAATGAATGAACTAAAATTTCATAATCTATAAACTAAAATTTCAGAATCGATGAACTACAATTCCATAATCGATGAACTATAATTCCATAATCAATGAACTATAATTCCATAATCTATGAACTAAAATTCCAGAATGAATGAACAATATAATGTTGTTGCTGGGAATCAAACCTGAATTTTTTTTAAAGGGGAGACGCGCGTTTTTTAATAAAACGACGTCGTTTTGGCATCCATATGCATACGGATGCACAGCATAACGATTGAAGAACAAACATGATGTACATATATGATTTGGGCTTACAAAAAGGGGTAGGCTTTTAGGAAACAAACATCATTTTGGGCTTAAGACATTTTGGGTAGTAAAATCATAGTTCATAAGATAAATAGGCCAAAGCCCATTTTATATATATATATATATATATAGTAAAATATTCAAATCATAGATAGATAGTTCTATTTGGGAAATATTTATATTTAATTATAAGGTTTAGGAAATTACGGGGTGTCCAAGTTTGGTAATAGGGGTTATAGGGAAAATTGCTTTGGGAATAGATTGGAGGTGGTGGGGTGTATTCATGTGAAAAAGGTACAGTGTAAGCCTGGTAGGAGTAATGGGAAGGATGTCCAAAATTGTGATGTTGAGAGTTCATCGTTTCAAGTCTCCTGAAATCACAAAATTTGGAAAAACTTTTGGTGGACACAAGATAAATAGTGAGATTAAAATAATAAAACAAAAGAAAACGTAACTCAAGATTCAAAACATCAAATTTCCTTACTATATTACAAACTCAACAAAACAACCGTTTACCACTCCCCGGCAACAGCGCCATTTTGACCAGACACTTTTTCGTTTACGGTTCTCTTTTAGAAAGCATGGTCAAAAGATTAGATGTGATAGGGTCATGTAAGGATTTGAGATTTAATGGTGATAAAACGGGGTGAGTGAGAACCACCCCGAGTGTCGTACTCAAGGAGTGATAACTTGGAAGTGTTGAGAGAGTGTTATGGTAAGGATATTTGAGCTTGAGGTCCTTGGTTAAGTGATTGCATTAATAGGTTGTGGTAGAATAAGAGAACAATGAGAAAGAGAAATAAGAACTGGCGGGAAGTACTCACGAAACTATTAGCCGCTAGGTGCCTACAACGAACTAATCGAGTGATAAAAGATGAAAAGGAAAAACGTAACCAGCCGGTCACTGGTAGAATTTCTTAAGGTGGTGATTGTTCCACAGGCTCACCCTCCGTGGTTTCTACCCGGTAAGTTCCCGGGTAAACTTCGCTTGCTATCTTGTACGGCCCTTCCCATCTGACCGCCATGTTTCCTCCCTCGGTGGGTCGACTGGCCGTCCTTTCTCTCAGTACGAGGTCCCCTACTTGGAGGTATCTAACCTTGGCCCTTTTATCCTCGTAGCGCTTGACAGCCTGCTGATACTCGACCATCCGAGCATAGGCTACATCTCGCCTTTCTTCCAAGAGATTCTTTTCAATTCGCAGCGTTTCTTCGTTGCCTTCATCATTGTACAACAAGACTCGCCGACTAGGCGCCGGGAGCTCGGTCGGGACCTTCGTCTCGAACCCGTATGCCAAGGCAAAAGGTGCTTCAGCAGTCGCCCTTCGCGGGGTCCTTCAGTAAGCCCATAGCACCTTTTCCAATTGCTCAACCCATGTGCCGCCTAACTCCTCCAGTTTTTTTCGCAACCGTCCAAGAGGGTGCGGTTTAAGTTCTCAATCTGCCCATTCGCTTGGGGGTAAGCCACAGACACCTTAATGTGCCGAATACCGATCTGCACACAGAAAGCCGCGAAGGCCCTATTGCCGTTGTCGTTCACTTTCGATCACTAGCTGCTCAGGCAGTCCAAATCTGCATATGATGTTCTTCCAGACGAAACGATGGCATTGATACTCGATGATGGTGGCCAGGGGCTCAGTCTCTACCCACTAAGTGAAATAATCCACGGCCGCGATGCAAAAACGCACTCGCCCGGGCGCTTGGGGAAGCAACCCGAGCAGGTCGATACCCCAGTTGGCAAATGGTATTGCGGTGGTAATCAGGGTATAAAAGGTCGCCGACCGGGTGCTCTTTTTAGCGAATGCTTGGCATATGGAGCATTTTATCACTTCTTTGATGCAGTATTTCACCATGGTTGCGCAATAGTAGCCCTGAACGATGAGTTTCCTGGCCAGAGTGTTGGCCCCCTGATGGGCCGCACAGATTCCTCGATGGGTGGCTGCCATTACGACCCTGGCCTCCTCGGGAAGTAGGCAGCGCAATAAAACCCCCCCATAGGATCGTTTATAGAGCAACCCGTCCACCAACTCGAATGAGGGAGCTCTCCTTCTAATGCGGTCAGCATCCTCCTTATTGTCGAGCAACTCTGCCTTTTGCTTGTATCTGACTATGTCCGCCAGCCACGGCCACTCGGCCTGGCTCTCATGGCCGAATGGGGAAGTGGGTGCCTGGACAACCGTGCAAACCGAGAGCACTTTGGTGCTTGGTCGTTCTAGGACCTCGGTGCGACAAGCCATCGACAGGTACGGAGGTATACTTCCCAATGCCAACTTCGATATGATGTCCGCTTCCGCATTCTCTGCTCGCGGGATGTGAATGATCTCATAAGCTTCCAACATATCCAGTAACCCTTCGGCCATATCTTTATAGAGTCTTAGCCTTTCCTCCCTGGTTACGCACTCGCCCTTCAACTGACTGACTACTAGGCGGGAATCCGTCCTTACACGCACTCGGGCAGCGTTAAGGGCGATGACTAACCGCAATCTCCCGACGACCACCGTGTACTCTGCATCATTGTTTGAAGTCCGAAATTAGTATCTTAAGGCGTTATATAGGCGGAATCCCTTGGGGGTGGTGACCATGACACCACCTCCACAATGCCGGGTGCTGGCGTCACCGTCGATGTGTATCCCCCACCATTCCGCCACTTCTAGGCCTTCGACCAGCGAGCCCTCCGCTAGGTGGGCGGAGCATTCTACTATGAAATCAACTAAGGCCTGGGCCTTGATGGACGGTCGTGGGGCGTACTCAATCCCATACTGGGTGAGCTCCATCGCCCACTTGAGTAGTCGTCCGGACGAGGCCGGGTTACGCAGCGTACTGGCCAGCGATAAGTCAGTCAACACTCTGACTGTATGAGCTTGAAAGTAAGGCACCAACTTTCTGACGGTGGTGACTAAGGCAAATGCCACCTTCTCGAGGGGAGAATAGTTGACCTCTGCGCCCTTCAAAGTCCGCCCGACGTAATAAACTGGCAGCTGAGTCTTCTCTCCTCCCACACCAGCATGACCCCGACCGCCCTGTGGGAGGCGGCCAAGTATAACAACAGTGTTTCTCCCTCCTTGGGTTTAGACAAGAGGGGTGGAGCTAAAAGATACTTCTTTAAATCCTCGAAGGCTGCCTGGCATTCTCCAGTCCACCAGAACCTGTCCTGCCTCTTCATAACCTCGAAGAAGTGGAGGGCCCTATCGGCGGACTTAGACAAGAATCGGCTAAGGGCGGCCATCCGACCAGTCAATCGCTGCATTTCCTTAAGGTTGCTGGGCGGCCGCATATCTAGAATGACCCGCACCTTCTCTGGGTTCGGTTCAATTCCTCGCCGGGTAACCATGTCGCCCAAAAACTTCCCTCATTTAACCGCGAACGCGCACTTCTTGGGGTATAACCTTAGGTTGAACTTCCTCATAATTACAAAACAATCTGTCAGATCCTTCACGTGGTTAGTTTCCTCCTTGCTCTTGACAAGCATATCATCAACGTAAGCGGCCATGGATCCGCCTATCAACCCTTTGAACAATCGGGCTACCATTCGAGTATAAGTGGCTCCAGCATTTTTAAGACCGAAAGGCATTACCCTATAGCAGTATACCCCTTCCGGGGTGATAAAGGCGGTCTTTTCTTCATCCGACTCGTGCATGAATACCTGATGGTAGCAGCGGAAAGCATCCATGAAGCTGAGCAAGGCATAGCCAGCCGTGTCGTCTACCAGCTGATCGATTCGGGGCAAAGGGAAGGGATCCTTCGGACAGGCCTTGTAGAGGTCGGTGTAGTCGACGCACATTCTCCACGCCGGCGGCTTGGGCACCAACACCACGCTGGCCAGCCAGCCGGGATATTTAACCTCCTGAATGTGCCCCGCGGCTAGCAGCGTATCTACTTCCCGCTTCACAAAGTCCATGCGATCATTTGACAAATGCCTTCTCTTCTGATCCACAGGCCTGAGGTCGGGATCGACCGCCAACCTATGCGTTATGATCGACCGGTCAACCTCAGGCATATCCTCTGGCCCCCACGCAAATATTTACTTGTATCCCTTGAGAACTGTCATGACCGCCTGCTTCACAGAGGTAGGCAGGCCAGTTCCGATCCGGACCGTTCTGTCGGGACGCTCAGCCTCAAGGATGATTTCCTCTAACTCGACTGCGGGAGTCAGACGCTCCGCTGGCCCCTCAGCCACCTGATGGGCAATAGTGTTCACTCGGTCAAAGTTCTGCCCAACCTTTCGGCAGGCTTGCAAGTAGCAACTACGAGCCGTCTTCTGATCACATCACACTACTCCGACACTGGTCGGTGTGCGAAACTTCATACACAAATGCTCAATAGAGATGAGGGCGCCCAAATCCTCTAGCCCTGGTCGGCCGAGGATGGCATTATACACACACACCAGAGCAACGACCATGAACTCCATATCCAACTTTCTTACCTGAGGCCAGGTGCCCAACTCTACGGTCAAGGAGACGCACCTTTCTGCCTTGACCGCATCGCTGGTGAATCCGGCCAAAAGGGTCCTAACTGGTCGTATCTGTTCCCTAGGCAATCCCAATTTCTGGAAGGCTTCTAGGTATAACATGTTAACGCTACTGCCCGTGTCAACCAACACTCGTTGGGTGACCGCATTTGTCTCATTGTGATCTGTCATCCCCTTCTGCACTGCCACGCCTGGTCGGCGCCACTGGTTAGGGGGCAGCGGCCGGCCATGCTTAATGAGCACCTCAATTTCTTCCTTTAAGCCTTTGCATTCCCCCGTGAAATGGGTGCTCGTGCGATGGTATCGGCAATAAGGTGCGGGGTTTGCACTGACCACTTGGGGCCTGTCGCCATGGCGGATAGGCGGGGGCGGAGGTAGCGGGGCGTAGACCTCGTGGACAGGCTGTGCCATCAGCTGGGAGGAAAGAGCTCATAGTCGATCCAAGATTCGGCGAGCTCTCACACGAGTGCCACCTTCCTCCGCTGCTCGCCCTTCGCGGGAGTTATCCATCCGGGGTCTCTTGGCTGAAGAAACTTCTTGCTTGCGTTTTTGTCTGACCACCTCCACGGTATCGGCCAGCTGATTTGCCCGCTGGATGGCCTCCGCATATGTCTTAGGATTCTCTTCCCGCAGCCGACTATAGTACCCGTCCGCTCTCAAGGACTCGGTAAAGAACGTCAGGGCTGTCTGATCGTCTAGGTTTCCGCCTGCGGCTCCTTCTGCCACCGCGTAAAGTACCTACGTAGGCTTTCTCCTTCATCTTGATGCACCCTGGCAAAATCCGAGATTGACTTCATAGGTTTCATACTCCCGGCAAAATGTATCAGGAATTGGGTAGCCAATTCCTCGAAAGTGCTGATGGATCCCGGGGGAAGCCTGAGGAAACATCTCTAAGCCGACCTGGCCAGTGTCGGGAAGAACGCTCGGCAGATCATCAGAGCATCAGCCCCGACCACTTGCATCTTGGCCTGGAAACTGATGACGTGGTCACGCGGGCCCCCCATGCCATCATATGTGGGGTGATCGGGCAATTCGAACCCGACTGGTACCCTATAGGCTTGCACTTGCGTGGAGAAGGGTGAGGCGGTCAGGAGGCTATCAGTGACCAGCCTATCCCTACCTTCGACCATCTGCCGGAGCTCCTGAATGGCAACAAATAGATCGGCCATCTCGGGGTTATTCTGGTCGGGTTGCACGGACGACTATACGATGCCTTCCGCAGCTTCTTGCCTTTGCCGGGCAGCCATTCTCTTTTGGATAATGGCCATCGGCTGCTCCCTGACTAACCGGGCAGGGGGGGCACTAGCCGCCCCGCTCGGCCAAACGCTCCAGGACCGACTGCGCCGGGGCTACGGGTCCAATTCTGGAGTGCGCCGAGCGGTTAGCTTGCTGATCGACGGGCGGATTACCCCTTAAGTGCTCTAAGTGCTCGGGCGCCCCTCGATGGTTTTCCACGGGAACTGATCGTACGGGCTGTCTGACCTCGTTGGGGGGCGCCTGACCCCGTTCGCGCGTGTAAGCATCAAAACCTTGCGCCAACAACTCTGTAAAGTTAGCTTGGGCCTAAGAGATGGGCGCTGCAAAGTTAGCTTGGGCCTAAGAGTCGGCGCGACAGTACGCGCGGTAGGTGCAGCCGAATGCTTTCCGGAAGCGCAACGGTTTAGCTGCTCCCTCAGGTCGCTGACGGATGCGCGACTGCCGGCGGGCAGCTCTGGCGGGTTTGCGATAACTGCCACATGCCCGTTAGCCGGCGGGGCAGCGACGTTGGGGCCGGTGTTACGATTACTACGTCTCATATGTGCCATCAACAAAGCTTAGAAACGGGACATTTAGTTTCGTTCGCCACAAACGGCGCCAATGTTGGTTTTCGCAACCTCGATGGCCGCTCGGCAAGCCAACACCAACGAAAAGATGTGCTTGCGAGATAATAAAAACGAGAGATAAAGTATTAGAGAGAGAGAGAGAGAGAGAGAATAATGTGATATTATTTCTCCAGGTTTTGCCCAAAAAAGTGCCGATCTGATACATGGTGATCCCTGGGGGATATTTATACATGAACATGGGGTTCGTACATACAAGGTAAGTTGGGTTGACGTAAGGCCAAGCCTAAAGATGGGGTAAGGCTAACGTAGGGCTGATGCAACTGCCTACCTACTACCATAAACCGTCTAGGCTAATTAAGGAAGCTACTAAAATGAACAAAGATAGCCTCCGCAGAATCCGCTGATATTCGTCTCTGGATACGCACCCGGTCGGGAACTCCCCGGCCGCTATGGGAACGCCTTCATGGGCTTCCGCATCCGGGCAAGGACACTCCACCCGCGAGGCCTGGTCGCCGGTCAAGGACACAACTCCTGCGTGACTTGGTCGTCCATCTGAATCCTGCATGGTATTCAGCCGGAGACACACCGGCCACCGAGGCTGGTCGCCCAACCGCATCTCATCCGGAACCCGCCCGAGGACGCATCGGCTGGTGAGATTAGCTGCTAAAGGATGAACTGCCGTCGTAGGACGCCTTATACAATGGCCGGGAGGGGCCTTGGAGATCCTCCACTTGCTAAGTATCAAGCCATGCCTTGACCCGACCGCCTTGCCGGACCTTCCCATCCAGGCAGCTATTTTGGGGTATCTATCAATTCTGTCTGCAGCTAACGGATAACTTTAAAATAATTTAATAATAGAGGGGTAAAATAGGAATTTCAAATTATAATCCCCTTCTTATGTTGAAACCCATTGTGCAACAATCATTATTTTCTTCTTATATCTACAATGTCTTTTTCTTCCCCAAGCTCTAAAGTCTCAAGTTCATCCACTTCCAAGCTGCGAAATTCATAGGCAAGTTGTTTCTCTATTTTATATGTTTAAATAAATAATCATTATAACAATATCTATTGTAACTATACATTTTGAATTATTTATTAGCATCTTCTATTGACAAGAATTGTAACAATTGTCATTGATAAACTCTCAAAATAATTTGTCTCAACAACGAATGTAAATTAAAAAAAAAAAAATCAATGATTTCATTATTTTTATATATGTAAGGAAGGGGGAAACCCAAAAGAGATACAAGAAGGATTATGAGTTACAAACATTTCGCCAAATAGGGAAGGAAAGCGCATCGTCCTCTAAAAGCCCAAGCAGTTCTACGGGCGGGCTGCTAAAGATATGAATTCCTTTGGTAAATCGGTGTGATATTTTGGCAAGGAAATCAGCCACCTGATTTTGTTCACGGGCAATAGAAGCCACTTGCCAAACTTTTAAACATCGGAGTTCTTTTTTGCATGCTTCTAGAATATTGTGCATCACGGTAGTCGGAGGAGAGCTATTGTTGATATAATCTGGTAACATTGAAGCGTCGCATTCAAAGAGCACTTTTCTGAATCCCATATGTGCTGCAAGTTGGATTCCTTTTAGTAAAACCCATGCTTCTGCCTCGGGTGGTGAGCAACAGCCAATGTTGTGCACATAGCTAGTTATCCATTTTCCTGCTTCATCTCGAATTGCTCCTCCGCTTCCTGCCTTTGATGTGGTGGGTTCGGCAGTGCCATCCACGTTAACCTTTACAAAGCCTTCTTGTGGTTTAGTCCAGCATAGTTTGATCCAAGTGGACTGGTTATCTGTGGAACCCGGTCTTCTCGCTCTTGCAAAGGCAGAGGCCACTTCTTCAGCTTGGGATTTTACCCAGACAATTTTAAATTGCAGAGGTTTGATGGCGGAGTTGAAGATGACATCGTTCCTCCATTTCCAAATCCACCACGCAGTTATGGAAAATATGGTGCTGGTAGTTGTCGGATTTCTGCCATCATGTCTTCTTGAGATTCCTTCGTCTAACCAAGTGGCGAAAGGGAGATTGCTAGATAGCTCAGGTACTGGAGGAAGGATTGCGTTCCAAACCTCTGCTGCGGCGGGGCATTTGCGAATCACATGGTCTAAATCTTCAACCGCATCAGGACATCTCCAACACCTATCACAGTTCGTGAAGCCCCTTTTGGCTCTGTTCTGATTAGTCATAATCCTATCATGTTTCAAAAGCCAAATGAATAGACGAATGTGGTTGGGTACTTTGAGTTTCCAAACATTCTCCCAATTCGTCTCTGACATAGGAGTGGTTTCTCCAATCGCAATGTTATAAGCAGAGCTCACCGAATATATCCCTGAAGCTTCTTTAGTCCAGTAAAAACAGTCGTTCGGACCATGGTCCTCGGTAACAATGAAGCCTGCTAGTTTGTCGATAACGGGGGTTGGGAGATGGTTGATGATCTGTTCCCATCTCCATCCTCTTGTCGAAGACCAATAGCTTGCAACCGATCTTTGCAAATTGTTATCCGGGATTTCGCCAGTAGCGACCTCTATGAATGGTTTGTTGAATAGCCAGGCATCTGACCAGAAAGCCGTATCCAGGCCATTTCTCACATAACTCCGGATTCCTTTTTTCAGGATCGGAACCGCTTTAAGAATTCCTTTATAAGCATTGGACATATTCGTCTTGGCAGCCCAGGCACTACAATCCTTGGAGGATAAGCTGT